TACACCAAAGGCATAGAATAGAAATAACCCTACACACTTAGAGCCAGCTGATTTTTGACAAAGGTGCCAGAAAACATACATTGAAAAATGACAGCTTCTTTAACAAATAATGTTTGGGAAACTGGATATCCATAATAGAAAACTGGAACTTGATTCTTGTCTCTCGTCCTCTATTAAAATTAATTCAAAATGGATCAAAGGCTTTAATGTAAGACCTAAAACATTGAAATTATTACAGGAGAACATTGGACGACCTAGGCATAAGCAACAACTTCCCAAAAAGGACTCCAAATAGTACTCCAGGAAATAAGATCAAAGTTCGACAAATGAGATTTCATCAAATTAACATGCTTCTGCACAGCAAAGGAAACAGTCACTAAAATGAAGAGATAGCTTACAGAATATGTTTGTTAGCTATTTATTTGGCAAGGAATTAATTACTAGAAAATATTAAAAAGCTCAAAAAATGCCAAACAAGCAAGAATGCAATTAATAAATGGGCAAGTGGATTAAATAAACAATTATAGAAAGAAAAAATACAATGGTCAATAAATAATGAAAAATTGTCCAACATTCCTGACCATAATTGAAATGCAAATCTAAAGAACACTGAGATTTTATGTCACCTCAGTCAGAATGTATCATCAAGAACAAATAATGCATGTGAGTTGAAGACATGGGGAAAAAGAAACACTTACACACTGTTGGTGGAAATGAAAGTTAGTCTAGTCCAGCCACTATGGATATCAGAATCCATGTTCCTCAAAATACTAAAAATAGGACTACCATATGATCCAGCAATACTTTTCTTGGGCATATGTCCAAAGGAATTTAAGTCTGATACAATAGAGACACCTGCATACCCATGTTTACTGCAGCACTATTCACCACAGCCAAACTAAGGAATTAGCCTAGATGACCTTTACCTGATGAAAGGATTAAAATGGTATATATACACAGTGGAGTATGATTCATCTAAAAGAATGGAATTATGTCATTTGCCAGAAAACAGATGTGTTTGGAGATCATTTTGAATAAAGTGAACCAGGCTCAAAAAGACATATAAAATGTTTTCTCTCAGATACAGACTCTAGACCTGAGAAATATACATGTTATGTATATATATAATACATGTATAATATATACATATATTACATGTATATATTATATATATATATATATATATATATATATATATATATATATATATAACATGAATATAGTTGTGGCATTATTTTGGGAAGTTGAATATGAGGGGAGGAAAGAGAATGATGGGTGATGAATTTTATTGAGTTACATTGGATCTATGAAGATAGCATAATGAAACCAAATAGAATTGTTAAAATAAGGGGTTGCTGTGGGACTGAGAAAAGAGAAAATAATAAGGGGTATTAATCTGATCAAAGTACAGTATATGAATGTTTGTAATATGGTGAAACCCATTTGTGTAATTAAAATACAATTATAATAAAATAATAAAATAGAAAAAAGAAAACCAAATTCCCTCTTAAGTACATAACTAATACAATGGATTTGCTGATATCAAAGCCATAGGTCATCAATTAAATTGACAAAAGTCCACATTTTATTAAGATTGTTGAAATTGGAAGTCAGAAGGAAAATGCTATAAACTTTCTCTTCAGAAAAGGAAAGACCCAGACCCTACATTTTCTCTTTTTCCTCTTCCATTACAATTGGCATTTCCTGAGAGACTGGGATAAAATGGACTAATTAGACTAATTATGACTTCTGTGCATTGGGTCTTTAAGGCTATGTAAGTGCAAATAATAAGAATTTTCTCTTGAGCTTTCCAGGTTGCTGGGCCCAGTCCAGTGAGCTCTGTATTTCTGTATTTCCTCTTCCCAGAGTCTTCATTCCATCACGTTTTCCATGTCTGGCTTTGCTTCCCTGCAAGTCCTAAGAAAGAAGCCTGAACCCTTATTATTCACCAGGTAGGGGAAGCCAGTGGACCTGAACTCCTAGACATGCCCCAACAGAGACTGGAACAAAGTCCAGTGAGTGTTGGGGAATGGTGTTGGTGGAGAGAGTGTTAGGATTCCTATTTCCTTCTTATCTAGACATTAAAGAGTGGAATAGATAGATGAGAGCCCCAATATGCAAAATGTCATCTCAGAGCCCAGTGAAGTTTATGGTCTTTTTTTTCTGCTAGGGATTTCAGAACTTGCATTCAGAGTTCACTTCTCATCCACCATGTCAAAATTCCTTAGGCATCACTCATCCCACAGAAAGAAATGGTTCTCTTTAATAATGAATACATGAATCACCCACACATTTTCCTCATGCTGTTTCATTTTCTCTTCCCAGTTCTCCAGTCATTTATTTACTCTCTATAAAAGATCAATTTGCATGTTGTAGAATATTGTATGATTGAAATTCTAAATAGTTTTCTGTTTTTTTCTGGTTTTCTTTAGGTTCCATAATTATTTTTGTGATAAATCAATGAAGTTTATATAAATTGTTCACTTTGTTTATTCCTACGTATATTATGCTCTATAGACATACCTCTATTTGCTTATCTACTTATCAGTTTATGAATGTTTTGGTGGTTTCCAGTTTTTGGCTGATGATAACAAAAATTGATCCAGAACATTTAAAAAAGTGGTTCCTCCACATTGTCCCACACATTCAAAATGATGATGGTTGTAATGGCAATGGTGACACTAACCACAATATCACAAAACTTACTGAGAATTTCCTACTGCTAGGCCATGATATGTGTTATGTAGAATTTTAAATTTTCATCTACATAAATATCCCTCAGGTGTCAGTGCAAACCTATACCTAGTGTTATTTTGAAGTTGAAGAAAGGAGCACAACATTTTAATTTAATTTTTACCAAATTGTGGGCAAGAAGAGGGTGAAGTCTGGTTTGGTTTCATTTTAGTATAAATCCATTTACAGGGCACCTAGACAGTACTCTGGGTGGTCAACCCAAGCTTCTTTCTCCAGGTAACTCAAGGTAGAATACCTGGAGGAAACAGACCAATCTCATTCATTTCTGATCCCTTATACTTTATGGTATGGTTGATGCAGCATAGACAACCAAACCAAACAAAATCTGTGTTCAGTATTGCTCATTTGTTATTAGGTGACAGAAACAGAGCATAAGCAGTATGATTGTTATATAATTGCCTGTGCTTTCATTCCTTTCTGAGATATCCATATGACTAGAGAAATGAGTGAGACTTGGTTGTTTCCTTCTTATTCACTCTTTTGTTTTTGGTGCTGGGGATTGAACCAAGACCCTTACATATGGTAGGCAAGGGCTCTATTACTGAGCTACATTTCCAGCGAGGTTAATTTTTTGTTGTCATTGTTTTTCAAGATGTGGTCTCACTGTTTCGCCCATGCTGGTATTAAATTTCTGAGCTCAATCAATTTTCCTGCCTCACTTTCTCAAGCCATTGGAACAATAGGCACATACCCATATGGCCAACTCTTTGAAATGATCAGGAAAGAGAAATGCCTGGTTGAGTTGAATTGGTAAGTAAGAATACTTCGTAAGTGTCATGTGTATAGAAGTTTATTGCTCAGAAATATTCATAAGAAAAATGTTTGTGTTTGTGTCATGAATTTTCTATAGGACCTACCATTATTCCTGTAGTAGGAATTGTAATATTATACTAACGATGGGGAAATTTTTCATAAAATGAAAATAAAGAAGAGACAACTGTTGTGAGCGTTTGAATCCTAAATGAGTGTTCCAAATGAATATTGTCAGAAAAAGGTGCCATCAAGTTAATGTCATACCTGTGCTCCTAGAAAAGATGGGTCCAGTTCAGAATAATGCCAAGTAGTTAAAATTAGGTTATTTAGGTCTGTTAAAGAGAATCCCAGGAGTCAATAAATTTAACAGAGCATAGCCCAAAGCACAAACTTAACCAGGAGCCAAGAGTTCAAAATGCAAGACATCCACCAGACAGTACAGCCAGTCAGCAAACCAGACTGTTGGTCATGGTGGTCACTGGTGCAGTGCTCTGCCTATAGTGAATGCTGCTGGAACAGGGTGGACTACCACCCAAAATTTGGCTTGTATGTAAAAACTGACAAAGCCAAACAAAAGTATAAAAGGTTTTATTTTTCATAGAAAAACATTCCTGTCTATGAAGTTCATAGAAGCTATACTAAGCTGGTAACACATGTGTAGTCAAGGAAAGTGCTGGCTTGTGGTTTTCACTGTGTTTAGGGTATGGAAGTTTCTACTTGTGAATATGATCTTCTCTGGATTGTCTACTGCTGCCTCTGAAGGAGGAAACTCTGAGGTTTCTTATCAGCTTGCCCAGATGTTGGGGGAAGGAGAAAGAATGAGGCTTAAAAGCAGAAAACAAACATCAAAAGATAATCAGTCAGGTTCTTTACTACAGTTTATTTATTTATTTATTGTGGTATTTGGGTTTGATTGCTAGTCAGGCACTCTAACACTTGAGTCACACTTACAGGTGTGTTGCATAGTTCTTAAAAGATGTTTATAAATAGCCTACAAGGAAATTTATTGAACCTTGTTTGAATAAAATCAAGTAAAATCAACTGTTTAACTGTTTTATTTAATTGGAACACTCAAAGGAAGAGACTAATATGTTAGTGTGTTTATGGATTTTTGTTTCCAGTATTAGGGATCAAATCCAAGACTTCATTCATGCTAGACAAGTGGTATACCAATGAGCCACATCCCCAGTACTTGTTTAGAGTTTTTTTTAAAAAATCTCTGAATATCCTTGCTCCTTTAGATTATTCGTTTTAGTGTTTCTAAAGTGGAGGTATATAGAAATGGGTGAAGGTAACAGAAACAATTCAGAAAGAATGCTAAGAAGAATGTATTTGCCATCACTAAAGAAATAATGGTAAGTGTAATGTGTATATCTTTCACAACCTTAACTATGAGGTGCTTAAATTCACAACATACATATAATAATGGGTCTCTTTATGCTTCTTTGCCTTATTCCAGCCTTTAATCATATACCAAAATGTGTCTGTGCTACATGGAACCACAGAATCTGACAGGTATCTTGGAATTCCAACTCCTGGGTCTCTCAGATGATCCAGAATTGCAGCCCCTCTTCTTTGGGATATTCCTTCCTATGTACCTGATAACCTTGCTTGGAAATCTGCTCATCATCTTGGCCATCAGCTCTGACTCGCATCTCCACACTCCCATGTACTTCTTCCATTCCAACCTGTCCTTGGCTGACATTGGCTTCAGTAGCAGTATAATCCCCACAATACTGGTGAATGTACACACACACACCCAAAATCTATCACCTATGCAGACTGCCTCACTCAGGTGTCCTGTTTCTCTCTTTTTGGTTGCTTGGACAGTATAGTCTTGTCCTTGATGGCTTATGACCAAGTAGTGGCCATTTGTCACCCTTTACACTATCCAGTCATCATGAACCCCTACCTTTGTGGCTGGTTGTTTCTGGTGTCATTTTTCATCAGTCTTTTGGACTCCCTCATGCACTGCTTGATGGTATCACAGCTTACCTTCTGCACAGATGTGGAAATTCCTCATTTCTTCTGTGACCTTCCTCAACTCTTTAAGCTTGCTTGTGATTATATCTCTACAAATAGCATATTAATCTATGTTATTGGTGCAATCTTTGGTGGTGTTCCTGTCTCAGGAATTTTTTACTCTTATATAAGAATTGTTTCCTCCATTCTGAGAGTCCCATCAACAAGTGGGAAGTATAAAGCCTTTTCCACTTGTGGCTCTCACCTGTCAGTTGTATGTTTATTTTATGGAACAGGCATGGGAGAATATTTCAGTTCAGTGGTCTCAAATGCCCCTAGGAAGATTATGATAGCTTCAATGATGTACATCATGGTCACACTCATGCTGAACCCCTTTGTCTACAGTTTGAGGAACAAGGACATCAAGCAGGCCCTTTGGAGGCTTCTCAGCAAAACAGCTTATCATGAATACATGGGCCACATATTTTTGGTCTGTGGATTAGAAAAGATGGAAATCGAAGCATCTAGAATTGAAAACCAGGCCTCTTTGGCCAAACAGGTTTTTGTAGGTCTTAAACTTTTTATTACTTTGATGCTTCATATCTGAACATTGATTCATTTAGCCCTGGTATAGTTTGGATCTTATTTCTCCTAAAGTTCCATGTATTTAAGGCTTGATCTACAGCCAGTGCCACTATTAGGGCGTAGTAGAACCTTTAGAAGGTGGGGTCTTGTTGGAAGAATTTGGGTTGCTGATCGAGTGCCCTCAGAGGGGATTATGGGACCCTGGCCTCTTCCTTTTTCTCCTTTGCTTTTCAGGTGCCATGAAGTGAACAGGTCTCCTTTGCTACTTTCTCCCTGCCATTGATGTACTATCACATTACACACCCCAAAACAACTGGGCCAACTAACTCTGGACAGAACTCTCTGAAATTGTGACCTATACCTAGCCTTTTCCTCCTTATAAATTGCTTATCTCAGGCATATTTTTACAGCAATGGAAAGTTAATACAGGAACACATTTAATGAAACGGGAAAATTCTGGGATCGTGCATGTGTCAAAACTACTGCACAATTGAACGTATAAAATGTAAAAGGTGTTTTGTATTTGTCATTCATAACTCAGGCATCTTGAGAAGTGCACAACTCTTTAAAATATGCATAAAATTCATGTATGGACATATCACAGTGAAACCCTTTTGTACAATTAATATCAGCTAATAAGACAAATGAATAAGTAAATAAACTATGCATACAATTCTCAACTCCAGTACATGTCTTTTTTTCTATACAATTTCAGCATCATTCAAATTTATTTATTTACTGGTATTACTGAAGGTTGAACTCAAGGCTTCATGCTTGCTAGGCAGGTGCTTTACTGAGTGAGTCACACCTCTAGCCCCATCATTCAAACTTGTTAATGCAAGTTATATGCGATGCTGAATGTCACTGTCTTTTAACATTGACCTCATATAGGAAGCACACAGGAGCTGTAAAAAGCTTCATGCATTTTCCTAGCACCAGGATTCAGATGTAGTCAGGATGGGACTTGTCAAGAGCATGATGAGTTAAAAAATCATCTCATGTGGTCTGATGTGCAGTTATGGAGAAGGATTATGGATTCTTGTCTAAATGTTCATTGAAAAATGACTAGTATGCCTCAATTTTTTTTTCTGCTCAGATGCAGAAGGTCTTAGAGCAATCAGAGCTCACAAAGTAGAATAGGTGAAAGAGCTAGTAACAAGCCCTAGCAATTGGTAATGTGATTTTTCTCAACATTCCTGTTAATACTTCTTCATTCACATTCTTCCTCCATACTTTATACCTGGGGAAAGGGGATGGGAGGATGAATATAGTTCAAATACTGTGTACAATGTATTTAAATGGAAAAATGATACCTGTTGAAACTGTTCCAGGAACGTGCAGAGTGAGAGATAAAGGATTCTGGAGGGGATGAATTCAAGTGCAGTATACTTGATATATTTCAGGAACTTTTGTAAATGTCATAATGTACCCCCAGCAGAACAATAACAAAGAAATAAAGAAATGAAAAAAAGAAGTTGTAATGTTTCCTCTCAGTTCAGGGGGATACAGTTGAGGTTACAGTTGATGATATCCTATTTTCAATTAGTATTTGGCTGTAATCATGCCAAATACATTAAGTGATACATTAAGTCACTCAATTTCATACAAATAAATGTAGTATTGTCTTCTTTTTCATTTCTCAAGGACAGCAAGAGACTATGTCCAATGGTAAGGGGAGCTCTTTTTTTTCAGTCATGCCAGCCTCATTAGGATTTCACTGTGTAACTACATTTCTGTATCATTTGTCATGCTCAGTCTTTCCTTAGGCTCTTCAATATTGTGATACATACTCATGTCCCCAAGTACCTATCCACCTGTTCTGTAGGGATGGTGCACAGAGGTTCTGACATAGTAATCTTGGTTCTTTGAAAAAATGTCCAATAACTAGTACAATTTACTTTGTCTTTTACTAACTAAGCTAAATGACCTACCAATTTTACTGACAACTTTAATAATTAATATCCACTTCTTATTTTTTGGCAGCACTGGGGTTTGAACTCAGTACCTCATGCTTGCTAGGCAGGGGCTCTACCTCTTGAGCCACTTTGCCAGCCCTTCCAAGTCTGCTTTAATCGATTTCCTCTATACTACTTAGTCTTTTTGTAAATGAGATCTTGAACAAGTTAAGGGCAGGGACTTAACATCTTTGTCATTCAGATGTTCCTTGATATCAATAGGGGTATGTCCTGATGAGCTCATGTTAAGTAAGTTGAAAATATAGCGCAAAATGCATTTGATGCACTTGCCCTACTGAACATCATGGCTTAGCAACACTGTACACTGTAGAGTATCCATTACCCTGTGGTGACATGGCTGACTGGGAGCTGCTGTTTACTGCCACTGCTTAGGATCTAAAGATAATGTTGCACCACAACATTAATAACTAATAATGTTGCTAGCTTGAACAAAGAACAAAATTCAAAGTACAGTTTCTAATGAATGCATATTATCTCTGAACTAAAATACTTCAGTTGAAATATCTAAACTTGGGCCTATCAAAATCTAGCACAATAAAGTCACAGCCTAGGCATATCTTTACTTTGAATAATATTGAGTAAATTACATACCACCTTACCAGAAAAATAAAAATGTTTTAATCCCTGTGCCTGACATTTTTCTTTTCCTTGGACCACTAGATCTTATGAGTATATTAAGTTCTCTATGTACTTCTAAGAGCATAAATATATAACCCATGTTCATTGTGGGATAATTCACAATAGCCATGTTATAGAGTCAGCATGTATGTCCAAAAAGGGATGAATGGATACAGAAATTGTTGTATTTATACATAATGTTGTATATTAAGCCATAAAGAAGTATGAAATAGATAATTTGTAGGAAAATGGATAGAACTACAGATCATAATTTTACAATGAAATAAGCCAGACAAAGTGAAAAATATGGCATGTTGTCATATAAGAAATATAGATATAAAAATGAAAAAATACTTGAATGTTTGAAAGGGGTCTATTTAGGGTAGGGGATGAGTTTGGTGTGGGAGCAAGATGAGAGAATGTTGGGGATAAACATGGTCAGTGTACCTTGTATGCATGTATGAAAGTATAATGAAACTATTTTGTAAAAAGAATAGATTAAGCTACAGAAAAGAGAGATGTATACTTTTTTTCTAACACATGTTCAGTAAGATGGATTTATATCCCTTTAATAGTATGTGCAAAATTAAAGGTTATAGAATAAAAGATGAGCTTATAAATTCTCAAATAACAACAAAAAAGTCAAACATGTTACTGCCTGTGCTACTTGGGAGGAAGTGTAAGAAGATTGCTGTTTATGGCCAGCCTGGGCAAAGTTAGATCCAGACCCTATCAGAAAAACAAACTCAAAGCAAAAGGACTACAGATGTGGCTGAAGTGGTAGAGCTCTTGCCTAGCAAGCATGAGGCCCTGATTTCAGTCTATAGTTCCATAAAAATAAATAAAGGGCAGAACAGGTTCTGCCTGGAAGCAAGAGGGGTATATGGGGTGAGAGGGAGGGGGCAGGGGGCAGGGGGGGAGAAATGGCACAAACAATGTATGCACATATGAATAAATGAATAAAAAATACTAAAAGATAGCACATTATATTCAAAGAGGGAGAAGTTGTGTAGCCTATGACTAATTCCCCAAAACTATCAAATGATGTCATCACATCCACAGAGACGAACAAAATCTTTCAAATCTTCTCCCCCAAAAGACAAAGAGATAAAAAAATGAGAAATTTCTTAATTGGACATCTAAAATAGAGAATACAAGAAACTGTTAATCTCTCTGTTTCCTTCAAGAAAACTCACTATGGGAGGGGGAATTGAAAAAGGCACAAAAAAGTCAATCATAAATACAACTGTCTGATTTTCATGTGCCATCCTATTTAGATTCAGTTTGGCAGTGAGAGTTTCTGATACACTTTTCACAACATAAATGACCTTTTTCAAGATTGTATTTCCTGTACTGCCCAAACATTCTAAACTGTCATAACCCTCACCTCTCCTTTCCTAAACTTTATGTGTACTCCTGTGTTTTTATTGGTTTCATCTGCCTACATTATCATTTTACTATCATCATTTCATCTGCCATTTATTATTTGTTATTGTCTTCCATATCCAGTCCATGATCCAAGTTTCCTTCATATCAGTGAATGAGAACTCAATCCGTGAGTTACTTAGAGATCTCCAAGCCAGAAGGCCTGCAACAATAAGTTGTAGAAGATGCAACAGAACATAATTTAAATAGAGTCCATTTTATTCCACTGTATAGTGTGCCAAGAGCACATTTTATTAAAGACTTGAAGAGTCCAAATGTAGAGATTCTGAAGAAAACATATTTAGGAGACTCAAACACTTCTAGCTGAGCAGGATTCACAAGCCTCCAGGGAAATTTGTTGGATCCTGGCATTGAATGGGTTTGGTTTGTCCTGACATTATTGGAGGTAATCTGCTCATGGAAGAGAAACTAGAAGAATTTTGAGGAAATGTTCAGGAACACCATAGCAGAATCCAATACGTACCCAAAACAGCAAAACATTCCATGTGAGAGTTCCTCTCCAGATTAAATTGATTGAAAATGGTGCTGTGAAGGTTTAGGTACTGCTGGAAAACATCTCTTTCAACAATTCATTAGTGTCTATTAATTATACAAATCAAAGGATTTCCTTGTAACATTTCCATACACGTATATTAACATACTTTGATCATGCTCACCCCCTCTATTACTCTTTCTGAATCCCCTCACACATTCACTTCTAGCTTCCAGTAGTTCCTCTTTTATTTTTATGACTTACTTTTCCTCCCCATAACTTACAAAATCTTCCAATCATTGTCATTATGGTACTGGCTTATTTTAGTTAACATGATAATTTCCAATTTTACCCAAAAAAAAAAGAATGTCCTTTCCAAAATTAATACTGGGGTGAAACACCCAGCTTTCCTATTGTCAGCTCTCTCCTATTCTCTTACTGGATGGAAGCCAGCTATCATGTTGTCAGCTGCCTGATGGGAGGCAATCTCTCAAACTGATGAATCCTAAATAATAATGATGGTGAAGATAATAATAATAGAAACTAATCAAATTTTAACCCCATGGTACATTCCCATCTCACCTGTTGTACATTTTGAAGGTGGATAGCTGTAAGACTCCCTGAATTATTTAAGCAACCTATCAAGTTTCCAGATAAGTGTGTCAAAATAAATAGTTGCCCACTGTAAGAGTATACATCAATTTGATGATGAAACTTAACCTGGAATATCATTCAAAATAATGAAAATCACACAGCTCCAGCACATAAAATACAAAACCTGAACACAGGGCTAATGAAAGAAATATTGGACATACATCTTTTTTGGGGGGAGTAGGGCATTCTAATAAAATGATTTATGAGCACTGACATTTGAATTTCATATAATTTTCATGTCTCAGAACATTATTCTTTTTTCACATTTGTTTTATTTTTGAATTAGCATTCACTAATAATATGAGGGGATTCCACTGTGATAATTCCATACATGCATACAGTGTACCTTGAACATACCCTCTGTATTATATTTCCTTTCCTCCCCATTTTTCCTCCCACCCTTTTCAGTGTTTGGTGGATTTCATTATATATTCTTCATATGTATATATGTAGTGTTCTTTGATCCTCTTCACTCCTCTGTATCCTTTCCTTTCTTCACTCCCCCTCCTGCTGATCACTCTCCTAGATAGTCTCCTATATACATTCATGTCCCATTCTTATTATTATTATCATCATCATTATTTTGGGTGTAAGTTTGGGTGTAGGTTCCACAAATCAGTGAGAATATGTGATATTTGGCCTTTTGAGCTTGACTTATCTTGCTCAGCATGATGACCTCCAGTTCCATACACTTTTCTACAAATGACATAATTTCCATTATGACTGAGTAATATTACACAGTATAAATGTATATATATATATATATATATATATATATATTCTCTGTACCCTTATTAGATATGAGACATACTCCTTAACTAATAAATGGAAGTAGTATCAGATTCTTCATACAGAATACTTGATTCTTAAAATTACCTAATTACAAATCAATGGATTTACAGTTATCCAAGTAAAATATTGTTTCTCTAATTGAAAACAGTAAGTGTTTGGATTTCATTAGATCCATACAACTTGGAAGGCAGAAGCATACACTTGAGCTTCCTGAGACAGGAATGGCCAGACCATTCCTAGTACATTCGTTTGCTCCCTTTCTTTCTCCATTATGACTATAATGTCCTTAGAGATTAGGATATGTGGACTAAATTGACTAATTATCAGCCCTGAATTGAGCCACAAGGATAGACAATTATAAATACCTATTCTGCATTCCAGACCTATAGTTTGTCAGTTCTATCCCAGTTTACACTGTACCTGTTTCTCCACTTCCAAGTTTCATCTGCTGCGGGAGAAGGTTCTGATTTGTATTTTAATGTCTGCTTCTGTCTTCCTGTCAGTCCCAAGGATGGAACCTGGACCATCATCAAACATCAAGCACAGGAATGTCATCAGATCCTACCATTGGGTAATGCCCCAACAATGATGCAGTTCAGCCCCGTAAGTGCTAAGGGAGACACTAGATGTAAGAGGGACTGAGATATAATGCTTCTTCATCATCAATAGCAGCAAGATAGTTGGGATAGCCATATGGGAGGGAACCAGTATGTAAGGTTTAACTCAGAGACTTTGAAGTTTATATTCTTAGTTATAGTTTAGGTGTAAGAAGTCTCATGTACAGTTCAGTTGTTCTCAAGTACTGGTTCAAGCTTCTCTAGTTATCGCTCCCATCAAAGCAGGAAGGTGATTCTAAACTGTCCCTGAAACACTGAAATTGTCATAAAAAGATGGCAATAATAATGATGACAGTAACCATGGTATTAAGTACCTTTACCTGGGGCATCCAATTTTTTCATGGAGCTTGTTACCTTTTCTCTGCATAAAAGTTACCTTTTATCTACATTTTGTTCTCCCCATAGTAAAGAAAGGAAGGTAATGTTCATTATCATCATATCGTGCTTCAGAATAGGAACATAGCATTTTAGTATTATTTTTACTGTGTTCTGGAGTATAGTGCTATGAAGCCATGTTTGAATCTAGACAGCCTCCCTCCACAGAGCACCTCATATTATTCTCTCCTGCAATCCAAACCTGATATTTCTCTTCCTATTTCCATAGGCAGAGCCTCCTGATCACTGTGCTTGCTCTTCCCTTTGGGTTTCTGCTAGATCACAGTGAAGAGAAGTAGAGCCCATACTCTGTCAGGTACAGGAAGCATGGCTGAAATCACAGTGGGAAGCACAGACAGTGTTGACACATGATAATTCAGGACACAACTGACTCTTGCCCTTGTTCCTGGATTTTACCTTCACTGCTCACTGCCACCTTCATGCCTTAATTTATTCCCTGTCCATCTCTGGGCAGGGTGCACAAAGCCATGGTGTTGGATTCCATTCTTAGCAAAAAGAGTTACTGGTGTACCTTAAGAAATTTGGAATTTACCTTAACTTAAACCCTATCAAGTATAGGGAAATAGTGAACAAGTTCTTTGCATGGATCTCGAAGACCAATTGGTTAATTTGAATCTTGTATGTTCTGTGTTTTCTGTGTGACACTGGGCAAAGTCTTAGTATTTGTGAGTCTCAACGTTGTCATCTCAGTTGTGTCTGATTGATACAACTGCAATAAGTAAGAGTTGAAAATCATGGTACAGAATATATGACTAAATACGTGATAGATTTATTTAGGAGAAGAAAGTAAATTTTAGGTATTATTGGCATTATGTTTTAACAAAGCTAAGTGACATAGCCTTCAACTAAAACACTCTGTCAGCTGAAGTTTTGACAAGATCAGTTATTTTTATTACTTACTATTTATTTTGTTGTTGCTGCTACTGCTGTTTTGTTATTTTCACAGCTGGATATCAAATTAGGGCTCCATACTTGCTTGGCAAGTGCTCTATCTTTGAGGTATATCCTTATCCCAATCATTTTATTTTACCCTTTCTATGAGTAGATTTCTTTTGTTTAGCTTTTTTTTTCTGAGACAGTTGTTCACTATGTAGCCTAAGCTAGACTTGAATTCACAATCCTGTTGTTTCGCTCTCTGAACTGATGGGATTACAACTATAAGCCACCAAGTCTGGCCAAAAGTAGATTTTAAAAAATTATTAGTGTAAATTAATTGTGCAAAGGGATTTCCTGATGATATTTATAACATGCATATAACGTACTTTGATCAAATTCTGTATTAGTGTTATACTAGTCTGCCTTAACTAATTCCTCCTCCCCATCCAAGAAACAGATTCTTAATGCCTGAAGAGAAATAATTTGTATTTTACTTCTGTTTCTTCAACAAGAGCAATCTGAGATATTTGGTAAATACTGGGCATGGTGGGGTATGCCTGTATTCCCAGTACTCGGGAGGCTGAGGCAGGTGGATTGTGAATTCTGCTTAAGCTAAGCTACATAGTGAGACCTTGTCTGGAGAAACAGGACTAAACAAAAAAAAATGAGTTCTAGGCCTATCTTAGCTATATAATAAGATCTTCTACCCCAAGAACTGGAAAATATCCCCAAATATTGACTAGCACAGGCACAGAACATGTACAATATGGCATTTATATACATTTGACTTTCCCATCTTTTCTTTCTTCCCAGCTCTGTACCTATAACTACTTACTACCCATGGCACAGACTTTCCATGGGACCTCCATTTTCCATTTACTAGAACCTACAATATTCAAGTATAGAAATTGTGATGATAGTCATAAAATTAAAAAGAGAGTGCAAAAGAGAAAGGGAAGTAAATATCATGGAGACATACACATTTTAGAATTTTCACTCATTCCATGAAGAAGGTCCCTGGGGCATGATGATTTTCTCTCTGTGGTGAAATAGAATGAAAGATTATTACAACATTCTTGTGATTGTATTTCATCAATAAACCTACAATTTCAGCAGTGATTCAGGTTTGATGAGGTAACACATATCCCTAGAGCTGGCAACTCAGGGGCTAAAGCAGGAGGACCAGTTGAGCTCAGGAGTTCAAGCAAGGTAAGTTCACAAAATGAGACCTCATCTCAAATAACAGTGATTCAAATTCTCATAAAAAGGCATGTTTTAATACCTGGTGTTGTGTTACCTGCTTCTAATCCAGGCACTAGGGACACTGAGGCAGGTAAATCCCAGCTTTGAGTCCAATCTGGGCTACATAGAAAGATCCTGCATTCAAAAATATAACATGACAATAAATTTCAAACTTGTACCTTGTTCCATCAATGTTATTTCCATAAATATTGTTCATTATAGGGTTATCTAATAGCTGTATGTTCCTCAAAAAAAGAGAATTATATATTGCTGTATTTTCTATAAAAGACACTAATTTCCATGTAGATATCTTGTGGGAAATCCATGATTGCCTGACTTCAGCAATATTTTAATTCTGTACCTTTAAGATAAGATCATTTATTTGATATTGGGATTTTTTTCTTTTGGGAAAACATGTATAGTATTTTAATAGGAGAATGTAATGTTTTAAATTTCATAAGTGAAATTGCTGTCATAAACATAACTTATAGAGATTCTTACTTGTAATATGTAGAGTGACATAAAAATTTTCTTAGGAATGCTTTCATAAATTGAAATAATAAAATTCAATTAATTCATCAGGCAGTGGTATGCATAATGTAGTGTTAGAAATATTGATTTGTACTTTACAGAAGGATGTAAATGAAGATGTACTTCAGGAAATAGTACTGTAGTATGATAGAAAATTGATAATTTTAAAATAAATTCCTCATGGATATAAATCAATTCTAATCATATGGAAAATTTGGAAGAAAATCACTCCTTCTAGACTCCTGATAATGTTTTCCTTTGAATAACTAAAGTGCAGGGAGTGAAAATCATTTAGAGATAGCAAAAAGATTTTCAAGATATACCTATAATAAATGTGAATTCTGAGGTGGGTGTGTTGTTGCTCACTTTCATCCTGGCATTCTAGGAGCTGAGGCAGGAGAATTGCAACTTTGAGGTTACCCTGAGCTGCATAGTAAGACCCTGTCTGAAAAAATTAAGAGGGAAAGTGTTATTGTTATATCATATTTTTGATAAAAGGGATACATTTTAAAAGGTACTAGGTAAAAGTAAAATATTTTAAGTGTCTAGGTGTGGCAAATTCAGGGAAGATGACTGTATTTGGGGATTAATTGTCTATAAGAGCTGGTTTCAACAAGGTTTGTTGTATAAAACCCTGGGGCATGTATTTTCACTGACATGACATGAGAAATGTCTAGTTATTTTCAGTGATTTAGTCCTCCTTCCCTTGCTGGTAGAAATGGGAGAAGGAAACCTTTACAAATTTATGTCTTGCTTTTAGATAAATAGGAAGGCAGATAGCTTCTTTTATGTTTCTTATCAATTGCCTTCACTTCAAAATATGCCATATTGACACATATTAGGGTGACATATTTTGTTACTCTCATCAGATTCAATCAATATATCCACTTTATGGATGAACAAACTATTCATGTGTTTTTAGTAGTGTTTTCTGCCCTTTCCCTTTTGCACTCTTTCTCAAATAAAATCATTTAGAAATTATAATTTATTAATGCATGTTAGTAGTACATATTACTGGGTTTCACTGTGATATGAAATCACATTTTCTCTACCAGGAGAAATGATGACCTGAAGTGCCTAAATTCCAGTAGCTGACATTAGGGAAATGAAGTTCTGCAATGAGAAAGGATTGAGTTGAAAAGTTCTTAAGGTAGTCCAAATGAAATTCTCTCTCTCTCTCTCTCTCTCTCTCTCTCTCTCTCTCTCTCTCTCTCTCTCTCTCTCTCTCTCTCTCTTCTCCCCTCTGCTTTCTCTTTCTGTTCTGGGAGTTAAACTCATGTCCTTTGCGTGTGCTGGGCAGGTGCTCACCACGGAACTACACTCAGTTTCTAGATTCCATTTCTTCTTCTCCTTCTCCTTTTCTTCTTTCTGCTTCTTCTTTTCTTCTTCTTCATCATATTATTGTTTTACTGGAGGTACATTGTGACATTTTTCAGAAATGCTTACAATATAGCTCAGTTAAATTCATCTCCCCCACCATCATTCTCCTTTATCCCCCTTTCCCCCATTCTTAGAATAGTTTCAACAGGTCTCATCTTTCCATTTCTATACATAAGCACAGAATATTTCTTTTTCTTTTTTTTTAAATATTGTCCCTTTATTGGTCAAAATATTCAAGTCTAAATCTCAACATAGTACATTTGCATTTTGACATTCTCCAGGATTTTTTATAAATTCAATTTATAAAATCAAGCTGTTACCCTTTCCTTTTTAGAAACTTAGAATTCTGAATAAAGTAGTCTCTACAAATGAGCTGAAATGAACACACATTGGTGTGTAGTTCATTTATGTCAGTTTTTTAGATTTAAAAAAAGCCTCTCTTTCAAATAGAGTTCATAATAAATAACCATTGCATAATAAGATATCTCCATACCTTACCACTACCAGAAAAACGTAAAAGATTGCCACTAATCTGCCAGAAATAAATAGGTCAATTTTTTTAACAGAACTCATAGGTACTCTCATAAAATCAAAAGTTATAGTATTATATGATCTTTCAAGCAGAAAGTAACAGAAACAATTAGTGGAATTTGTAGGCAAAAGGAAAGCACATAATATTTCAATCATACTTACCTTCCTCCATCCTTTCCTTCTATCTTCCCCCCACCACTGGTACCAATGTCCAGACTGGACCTATTTCGTTCTTTGAAAAGACTTTTTCATTTTTTTAAAAATACCCAGGTTCCATTTCTTAAAAGACCCACGCCATCAAACTGAAGATGAAACTCACAACCCATGAGACTATGAAGAACACGTTTAAAACTTATCAAGACCAATGCAATGCTTAAGTCTGAATATTTGATTGAATTCTAAATACATTTTATTGATGATCTCTATACTGCTTCATTTCTTTCAACAATCTTTTCTTTTTCCCAAGGTGTCCTAGCTACATGGAACCACAGAATTTAACAGTTGTCTTAGAATTCCTCCTCCTGGGACTCTCTGATGATCCAGAAATGCAGTCCATGCTCTTTGGAATATTCCTGCTTATATACCTGATCACAGTACTTGGAAACCTGCTTATCATCCTGATGGTCAGCTCTGACTCCCACCTCCACAACCCCATGTACTTCTTCCTCTCCAACCTGTCCTGGGCTGACATTGGTTTCAGCAGCACTACAATCCCCAAAATGCTAGTTAACATCCAGATACACAGTAAATCCATCACCTATGCAGGCTGCCTAACTCAGGTGTCATTTTTTTTCTTTTTTGGGTGTTTGGACAATATACTGCTGGCTGTCATGGCCTATGACCGATTGGTGGCCATCTGTCACCCTTTATACTACCCAGTAATCATGAACCCCCACCTGTGTGCCTTGCTGGTCATGGTGTCAAATTCCATCAGTCTTTTGGAGTCGCAGTCCCACTATTTGATAGTGTCACAGCTTACCTTCTGCACAGATGTAGAAATCCCTCATTTCTTCTGTGACCCTCCTCAACTAATTAAGCTTGCCTGTGATAATATCTCTACCAATAACATATTAATTTATCTCATTGGTGCAGTCTTTGGTGGCATTCCAATCTCAGTGATCCTTTACTCTTATACTTGCATTATTTCCACTATTCTGAGAGTCCCATCAACAAGTGGGAAATATAAAGCCTTCTCTACCTGTTGCTCTCACCTCTCAATTGTGTGCTTATTTTATGGAACTGGCCTGGGGGCATACTTTAGTTCTGCTATTTCACATGCCCACAGGGAGGTTATGATAGCCTCAGTGATGTATACAATGGTCACACCCATGCTGAACCCCTTTGTCTACAGTTTGAGGAACAGGGATATCAAGAAGGCCCTTGGGAGGCTTCTTAGCAAAAAACTTAACATCAGTACCTAGTCCATATTTTGATCTGTCGATTAAAAAACTGCAAAACATCTGTAATTACAAAGCATGCTTCTGTGGCCTCATAATTTTTATAGCTCTTACAGTCTTATAACTCTTTGTGCTTCATATCTGAATATTGGTACAATTAGTCTTGGTGTAGCTTAAATCTTGAATATTCCTCAAAGTCTACAGTTTGTACCACTATTGGGTGATGGTGGAACTGTTAAATAGTGGGACTTTCTTGAGGAGTTTGGGTCATTGGTAGAGTGCCCTCAAAAGGCATTGTGAGGACACGGTCTCTTCCTCTTTATCCTTTGATTTCCAACCACAAGGAGGTGGTTGGTGCCCAAGGTGGGTGTTAAAACATGGAGATATGGTCTAGGTCTACCCAAAACAGGAACAATAGGTGACAATAGGTGAATTTTAGGACTTCCTATTGCTAGAAGTCCTTTCATTTTCCTGTCCTTCTACTCATGCAAGGAGCTTTGCAGCTTCTAAACATCTCAAAGGGTAAGGCAGATGCAGATAGTCTCCCTATTCTTGTAACTTAACATCTAAAAGGAGGTGGGAGGAGGAATATCTGCTGTAACTTTTCAGTTTTTACTTCCTCTTCCAGTGTTTGATTCTGGCCCTTTTAATATTTATTAAAAATAATAAATATGTCTCCTCATCCAACTATCCTGCTTCATACCCCTGGGTGAAATCTGAAGGAACAGAACATTAATTTTTAATGGCCAGGTAGTGGTAGGGGAATCCACAAGTCTGATTTGCCCCTGTTACATGTCAGTGTCGAAGTGTTGCAGGCTGGAGTCAAGGGTCCTTGCCTTCACAGGCCAGGGAACTGGTTCATGAGGCAGCTGAATGATGAGCCAAATCTGGTATATAAAGTAGGATTTATTAGAGAGAAAGGAAAGGCTACAGTTAGAGAAGTGTAGCAGAGCCCGGAAGCTGGTAACTCACTGTACAGGTGGAGGCCGGGGCTTTTAATGGACACTTTAACTCTAGTTAGGATGTCAGTTAGGTGGGTTTTTTCTATTGGCCATGTATTTGCACATGGGCTCTCTTAGATGAGCTGGTCTATTTGCCACTTATTGGGGGTGGGGAGGGACAACTTTGAGGGCATTTTGTTTATCAGCCCTGTGGCAGATTTATAAGACCCTGTATCTCCTCCTCAGGATGTAGTAATGCAGGTTTATAACTCCTTCTCAGGGTACAGGGCTCATGGTGCTCTCCATGGGGGATGGGTTACTTACTCATCTGCCTTAGATATCCTGACCCAACACCCCTTTTGGCTCTTTTTAATATACTTTCAGTAGAGGACACTAAAAGTCACTGTGCCCTCATGAGTCCAATATTTTCCTTGTACCTCTTCATCAGTGGTGTTTTGCTACTGTTTGGAGTTATGATTCTGTTTTAATTTAACATTTGGTCATGCCTTCTATCTTTCAATAACTACTTGTTCAATTATCCCTAATAAACTATGCTTACTAATGTGACTAGTATGCTTTTTTTATTCTTGAACAATACTCTGACTAAAAGTGGTAATGTGAGGAATAAAGGTACTTTGTGAGATTCTAAAACTGGAAGATTGCAAAGTGTTAGGAAAACGCCACACACCGCACACAAAGGAGGCTCATGAGAGGTATTTCATGTCCAAAAGTTTCATAAGCAGGCTGGCCAAGAAAAAATGGCAAGCAGCTTCTCTCGGTGGGTCTAGCCTTAAATAGCATTTGGGAGAAAGCAAGGGCTAGGGATGGGCAAAGAGAGGTGGTGGGAGATCAGGGACAGTGGGCTTTGTTCTATAAGGGATGAGAACAGCTGTAGCTCAGGCTGCAGAATGGTGGCCAGGGGCAGTTCTTATCATTCTTCCATTTTTGGTTTCTTAAAGAGAGAGGGAGAAGAAGAGGGTTGGGTATTGGGGTGCAGTTTGATCCTCTGGCTGCTTGCAGCTGGTGGGGGGCAGTGCATGTTCTCAGGTGGGGTCCTTAGGGTTTGTTGTCTTCATAGGGGTTAGCGTGGGGGGGTCCCCTCAGTGGCACCGGAGAGGTTGATATCCTTGGAGGAGGTTGGTGGCTACAGGTATGTGATCTAGTAAAAAATTTTGTAAAGTTTTCATAATGCAGGGGAGAAAGCTCAGGAGGATAAAAACAACAATAAGGGGTGCTAGGAAAGGCAGTAGCCAAGAAAGCAGAGGGGATTGAGTCCAGTCTAGGACAGGGGAATTTTTAGTCCTGCAAAGTTGGATTTCTTAAGTCAGACAGGGTATCAAAATTTTGTTCCACTAGGCCTAACTCATTAATGTAGTAACAACATTCCTCTCAGAGGAAAAAGAAGTGCCTCCTTTCTCAGCAGTTAAGAGATCTAGGGCCCTGCAGTTTTGTAAGGCAACCTGAGCTAATGAGGTAAGTTGTCATTGAAGAGAGGCTAGAGAAATTGAAGTTGATTCAAGAGTGACCTGTAGGCAATTCTTGAAGTCACTGGCTGAGATGAGGCTGTGGCCCAAAGCTTCCCCTGCTAGCCCCGATGCAGCAACAGAGGAGGCTAGGCTAATCCCAACCATGACAGGCAAGAGAGCAGCCCTTCTTTATCATGGTGAAAGGAGCCAGGAAATCTCAGCCTCTCCATAAAGAGTGAGCTGAGGGATGATTACCACCAAAAGGCAGGGACCTGGGGTGGTGGTATTCACACAGGTGTATAAAGTACCATTGCACCAGAAGGATAGTCCAGAGGGAGGGAAAATCTGTGATGTCACAGGGATATTAAAGCTGCAGAGGCCATGTAGTCTCACCTTGAGGGTGGAATATTGAGTGAAGTAACAAGTACAAAAGGGAAGTAGGTATTGGTCTGGCTTAGGTTCCCAGAGAGGTATAGAGGGCAGTGGGGAATAGTGAGGTATCTGGTATAGAGGTGAGAGTAGGTTTGGAGAAGTTGAAGGGGATTGCAACCAGTAAGGGGCATTGGAGGGAGGTACATAGAAAGCAGTGGGTAACATTCGTAGGGCTGATGGAATTAAGAACCTGTATGGAGGCTTGTATAATTTGGATCCAGGATGAGAGGGTAGTCGTTGTGGAGCCTCCTGGAAGTTGATCTTGGAGGGTCTGCTCATCCTCTAGGATGTTTGAGGAAATTTGTACTTGTGAGTGGGGGACCATGACTAACTGCCTAGATATCCAGATATGTCCAACAGGAGATTTTACTGTACCCATGGGGGTAGGCTGTTCCCTTTACTGCTGTAACCCATCTCGAGTTCCAAGGGTCACTTATTTTCATATAAAACTTGTTGTCTTGGGCATAAAATGTGTCCCTGCCACTTTGGGCTAAATGAATGTGGCAAGACTAATAGGGACACCCACCATAGAACAGGCCACCATTTTTACAATAGTCTCTGGTCATATTGAAAGCAGACAAAGGGCTTGTAAATGGGGGATATAGACTGCAGGTCAACAGAAATAGTGATTGTAGAGGAACATCCCAGTATAGGGCAATCAGTGGTTCCTGCAGCGCGACAGACTGAGGCCTGGTTGTGTATGTAGGTTTCTTGGACCTTGAATCCCCAGAGATATAATGGAGATGGGGAACTGACTGGAAGGATAGTAAAGATCCAGATCATAAGAATGAGGAGAGTATAGGGAATAAGGTGCATAGGGCAAGGTACCCAAGGCAGAGAGCTGTATAATGGGGCCATCTCCACTCAGAAGGAGAAGTTTCCCACAGGCCAACACTCAGGAGAATGGGGACAAGGACAAGAATTACCCACAGGAAGGGATGGAGTGAAAGCATAGGTGGAGTGGTTTACAGTAATGCAAAGAGTAGGTTGGAAAATGAGTAGACTTCTTCAAGAGTAAAGTCTGAGAGAGTACCCTGGAGATGAAGATCAGATATCCAATCTATAAAGCAAAGGTAAAAGAGGTATGAGAAAGGAGGGAGGTTGATTGTGTTGGGAGGTGGGAAGTCTAAAACCTCAGAGTAGAGTGTATATATAAAAGAGTAAAAGCATGGGCAGGCACTGACAGGAAAGAATGGGAGAGGAGAAGTACAAAGAGTGAGTAGGCGAGATGCCAGGTCCCCGGGCATAGGGCTCCTGTTTATGCCCTGGGAGTCTCCGTGGGTGTGTCTCCATCTTCTGGGATCCTGGGGAGGCAGGAGATCTTTATTTTTGTTGGTCTGCAAGAAGAGATTGATAAGGCTTTTGTGGGGCTGCCAGATTTAGATTTTGAACATGTACCCTGGAGGGAAATCCTGTAGCTTAGCAGCCGTGGGTGTGGTGAGAATGACCTTAAATTGGCCTCTAGAGTTTTCCTGCAGGTGGCCAGGTGTGGTTGTACTTTTTAGATAAACCAGATCTCCCATTTGAAGGGAGGGAGTTATTTTGGTGGTGTCAGAGGGCTGTGGCAACTGATCATGAACATGAGACCAAAGGATAGAGCAAAGAAAAGTGAGGAGAGGATTGAGGAGAATGGGGGAAATGTTAGGGGGTTGTGGCTGAACCGTGACAGGAAGGAGTGGACAGCCACAGAGGAGCTCGAAGGCGCTGAGCATGAGTGGTCTTTTTGGGAGGGCCCAGAGGCGGAGAAGGACTAGGGGTAAGACCTTTGTCCAGTCTAGGTGGAGCTCGAGGGAGAGTTTGATGAGAGTATTTTTTAGTGTGCGATTGGCATGCTCAGCTTTACCTGAAGATTGGGGGTGATAGGGAGTGTGAAATCTCCGGTGAATATTTAAGGCTTGTGCCAAGTTTTGGGAAATAGAGGAAACAATCTCAGGCCTGTTGTCTGACTGGATGGAGGCCAGGAGACCAAACTGTGGGATGATGTCTATGACCAAAATTGTTGTTACTGTGGAAGCCTTTTTATTGGTCATAGGTTAGGCTTCCACCCATCCTGTGAAGGTGTCTACCAATACCAGGAGGTACTTAATCCTCTTTACAGGAGGAATATGTGTGAAGTCCACCTGACAGGGAGGCATCCCCTGGCTTGGTGGGTAGGAAAAGGAGGGGGCCTAAAATTGGAGTTGGG